GCGAGGAAATGAAACACTATGTGTGAAAAAGGGGTGGTTCGTGCAAAAAAAAGCTTTTGTGATGCAAAGGAACCATCATTGTTTCAAGATTACATACATTCAAAAATATCATTGTATAGCAGTACTGAGATATTCGCAACACTTGGATCCCAGGTCAGATAAAAGCTTAACATTGTGATTTCGACTACAACCTCAGCTTGACTAGGTCCAGTGCCCATTTGTGCTCCCCAGATCAGTCCCGCTAACGGGTGATTGCTGATGGCACCGTTAGGTAGAAAACTTGCTGAAAGAATCGCACAGCAAGGGCATTCGTGGAGCAGTGTGTAGTGAGCGAGACGCCGGAAAGGAAAATCGTGGCTCGATCTGGCCCTGGGTCTAAGTTTTGCGAACATCTCAGCATCGTTGTGGTTGTAATTCGTATCATACCCTGCCATGAAAAACTGTAGTAGACAGAAAATAAAAGGTTAACATTATCATTGCATACATATCATACAGAGTGCAGAGGTTAACACTCTCCATCGTCTATTTAGAGTTATTCCCTATCATTTCTTATCGCCTTTATGTTCTACTTGTCAATTGCTTTTTGCATGGATACCTGGATGGCACGCCTTCACTGGCAGTACGATCTTCAATACAATGTCCATTCGTTTCGTTCTTGCGCTGCTATGGCCCATGGACTGGTCACATCATTAATGTGGATCTCTTCACAGTATTTTGAGGAAACATGGAGAATTAAAGCTAGCTAATTCTATAAAGATTTCGTCGTATTCCGCTTGAGTTTTATCGTGTTGAAAATGCATCCTTTAATGAGCTGAAGCCACTTTTTTCAAACCTTTGTTTAATCCATCCATTCTTGATAACTCATGTTCTCTCGTAGGCTGTCCACTATGTCTTTTGCGCTGCAATTAAACAACGATGCATATCTCAGGTTTTTTCTCTAATCCGTACATTATATATATATATACATATATATATATATATACATATATATACATATATATATATATATATATAACGAAGAGGGAAGCGCAGTGGTAAGTGATGCTGTCGATCAGGAAACAAAGGCACAGGTTCCACCCTCTCCCCACTCTCTCGTCCAATCTACTTGGGACAGCCGTAGCCCAGCTATCTCCAATAATGCGAGAAGAATTGAATCGACCAGCACTCTGCAATATTTATGAAGAAGACGAAATCCTCAATTAGCAGCCGTAACAACACTCAAAATGGACAATGTCTTGACCTTTGGACCTTTGTGGACGATGAATTCAAGGAAAACGAATCGAATGGAGGAAGTGCTGGGATCCCCACAGTAGATGTGATAGCGGGTCATCTAAAATAATAAAGTGAAAAAATTCATACACGGACAAAAGCATGATTACTTTTCGGGACACCAAATGAAGTACTCACTGTCCAAAAGGATGCCGGAGTGGAGTAAGTGATCCACGGCTTGTACCTCAGCCTTTTCAACATCGACATAGAACTTCATGTATGTGATGTCGAGTAGAATGGTTGTGTTTTCAACTGTTGCCCTTTTCGAAGGCCGACACAAAAAGGCCACGAAGGCGAAGGCCACGAACACGAAGGCCGGCCTTGCCATTGAAACGCTGTACAGAATGTGATACCGGGCATGCGCAGACCTGAACAGTTAAAGATCTGCTAAATGCTACACCTCATTAGCCCAACAACAAGGCATTTCATGTAGTTGTAGGAATGCAAGGCAAGGGACGTAGATGGTGAAAAACGGGTGAAACTATTTTAGCTTGCAAAGGGGTTTGCGTGGAATTGACGCGTACCGTTCAATGTGCTTGCTGGATGTGGTCGACATGCGTTTTACACAAATTCTTGTCAAATTCTTTTGTCTTACACTGTTCTATTGATGAGCAAACACGATGTTGTTAACAGCAAGATAAGTTCAGTACAATATTGACCGAAGCTTTGATGATTTATCTAATAGTGTTTGTTTAACAAACATTTATTTTTGACTGAGCAGAGCGCCTGTCAGTTTGACTTATACAGACTCTTAAGAAAGCAGAACCGTCGAAACATCAACCAATGCTGTACTGATAAATGTTGCTGCTAACAACCTCGTATTTGCTTGTCAAGAAAGTAAGGTACATTGATGAATACCGAGCTTAACGGCGAGTTGGTCCTGGGGTTGCCACTATCCCTAACCAAAGTCGAGATGAACAAATTGTACAAAGACTTGACTGTTTTGCTTCTTCTTCGGTAATCCACTGGGCACGAATTCGCCGATGGGCTTCCGGAACTGGCAAAGGGGCATGAATATACCCTACTATATCATACCCATTCTCTTGTGTATGGGTGAATGTCCAATTTATTCTTATTATAAACGGGCTTACATGCGCTCTCTAAACACGTCTAATTTCCAAAGTTTGTAATAAGGTTTCGTCCCATTTTCGCACACTGATATCCCGTCCAGTAATGATTTTTTTAAAACAGACGCCAATTCAATGCACTTTTCTTCTCTTAAACCTCAACAACACTAGCAGAACATTCGATAAAACGTGTGAACCAACAGTAGAGGACCTCGTGAGCCTCAGAAAATCCGCTTACCCCAACTCTTTTCTACGTTTCCGCAAAGGTATTCCTCCTTACTCTTCAGTTGCACTGTGCAAGCAATAAAAGAATAAGGTATCTGAATAAAAGCCGATAGCCAGCATATATATATATATATATATATATATATATATGTCACCTCTATTTTTCTGATGAAACTGTTCTGGTAACATGAACCGCTAGCCAAGTGTTATTTGATGCTGCAGACAAAGACTTCTAGATTCGAATACCTTTCGCTGTACTGAAATAGGCATTATTTTCATAACGGTTGAGTGAAAATCGATTCATGTCGGTTCCCAAGTGTTGTTCATGATCTTTCCAACGGTTGCCATTAAGACGCATAACCAATCTCGTTGCTGACACTGCCATTTGTGTCTAGCTTTACTGTTCTTCGTTGGTTCATGTATTTCGCGATTCTGGGTTCACCAGTTCGGATGTCGTCAGCTACATGAAAATGCCATAGTTGCAAGTTAACGTTCTTGAAGATGACACCGAATAGATCTAGCGAGATGCTCTTGCAATGTCGATATCCTATCTAATCGAAGCCTTCAGACCATCTGAAGGCTTCGATTGGATAGTATTTCGGCATTCCACTGCTTAATGGCATATATATAATACAACATGCAAGCTTCTAAAAGCTGTAGCAGTACAGATGAAAAGATCCGTATGGTAGAAATGAGATTCCACTTATTGCATCTTATGTATTCTCTCATTCTTACGAAACAAATAATCGTGAAAAAGCAAGCAATGGTCCATTTCTGTACAAAATTTTGAAGCAACAATAACACCATTTTGGTCAAACTTTCGGTTGATAATTTTGTCGTAAATTTTATTACGCTACTCGCTACATCAAGATTCCAACGCTAAGCGTTGAGAGACCTTTCGTTTCTTTCCTTTCATATCTAACGCAAAGTTCTTTATATGTTGCCCTCGGCCTGATATTAAGAGCCAAGGTTACCTATGATGATCTTGCAGGAAGTTTGTGTCTTTTCCTTTGGGCTTCCCATACTCATTTATGATGATTTAATCTTACCTTTTTCTTAGTTTAATATGCCGAAGTTGGCTAGGCTGTCTGTCAAAAGTAGCATTGGTCAACTGCAAATGTGTCATTCGCGCCATTAGCGGTTCAAAAAAGCAGTTGTTCACAAGAGATGTCTGTTCACGAGGACACTGACTAAGGTCGTTTTTCCAAGAAAAAAAAACGCACTTACATAATGCTGGAAATGGCATATACTGGCTAGATTCTTATCACTTTGGCCAACATGTTGGCGTTCTTGGTCGTCCTTTGTTTATTAGTGCTTTTTACATGCCTGTTGTTCTTGGTGAACAAGATCTAACCCGACTAAAACAGAATCTACCTGTCTTTTTCCCTATTTCTGCACATTCAATATAAGTTGCTAGTCCATTGCAAAAAGAATCAAACCAGTCACCAGATACGCGCGCTCAAATATGGAGTTTAAAATCTTATGCTTATTTAAAAAAACGTAACAATAATGCTTGATGTGAGCCTACAGAGCGCAAGTCATCAGACGTTGCACTGGTTGGTTACTGTAATGATTGTATACAAGAAACTCACTTCCATCACATTATTCAGTTCCTATTACACCATATTTTCTTCGAAAGTAGGTAATTGGTATTTCAGGGAACTGTGGTGGAGTCCTCAAAAAACAAATATGTGATTGTTAAACTACTAGGAGCCGGTGGATTTGGAGCGGTTTATAGGTGCGCATTCATAATTATTTTTATCAAGACTAATTTCGTTAGTGAACGTGTGATTCGAATGGGAACCAGTGTAATGCCTGTCTACTGGTATTCTGTCAGCTGCATTAGTTATTCGGTAAGCTTCGCCTACTGGAAGGAAACGGAGAGCGTCGCATTCATCCTACGAGGTCTTCTACTTTCGTTGTTCTTGGTTAGGAAGTGCCCACATTTAGCCGACCGTCCTTCAACGAAATAGACGAGGATGCTTAACGTTGGAGATAACTCTGAACATCCTCTCAACGACTTCCGCATTATGTGGTTGCAGGCTTGTAGCCGAATCGACATAGGGGATAAATTTGGCATTCACGCATGTAAATCTGCACCACAACTCTGCATGGAAATAATTAGTTGTCTACATCAATCTGGCACACCAGGAATAGGAAGCTCACTTGTGAATACACCACTGGTCTATCAAGTCTTATGAAAAGTGCAAATCTACCTTGAGTTCGCTCTTAGCCCCTTCGCCTCATTGGGATGCATTTCCTTGCTACTAACCACCACAAGGTCGCTGCCACAAGTGAGATCAATGGACTACTGCATAGAAAATACATTACACATTGGCACTACCATGAGATAACTGAAATGTTCATAGAAAGTTATCACATATTTTGCATCACAGTGAGACAAATTACAGAGTCCATGATCAAAAAGATCCAGCAAAAATGTTCGCTATGAAAGTAGAGAAGAAAATCGAGACCAGGAAACATTCAAAACTGAAAATGGAGGTATAAGTACTTTTCGAAACATCTTTACAATTTACGATTACATTGAAAGGTCATGTTGGCTCTCTACACTTTAATGTCTCCTATTTCATTTCCGGGTAGGCAGCTCGTGGAATGAAGTAACATTTGGTTCACTTTTTGTTGACGGAGGTGGATATGTCTTCTGCAAATGGCTTGACTGGAAATGTATTGTGTGCTCTACGAATGAAAGCACCCCTTATATCCTCGACTGTATATCTCCATCAACGTTATTTCTAAAAAATATTTATCTTCGTACACTCCGAAAACAGTGCACACAGTAACACGATACTTTCCGCATTTTTGTGTTTTATGAGGGGATCATGAAGCGAGATGGCTAGAGGTGCAATGCACACATTACCTTTGGATTAATCCTACACCACGGTAGACCAAGCCATCCTTTCTTACAGCGTCGGTAAATTACTACCAGACTTTTCCGGTAGTATAAAAACACTGATTTGACACTTCGGTAGGCCACCGAAAGTCACTGTACAAGTTGGATATGCATTCAATCACAATCATCCCTGCGATTCGACGAATGGAATCGAATTCCTGGTACATCCATAAGAGACTGAACAACATCAAAGGATTTACTTTCACGCTTCCATGTATACCTCTGCAGACACTGTTCATTCCTGCGTCACAGTTGAAGCTCATGCTGTCCTATCCTCAGTTGTCAACCCTAAAGAATTCTGTTTGTATTACAGATCGCAATTTTGAAACTGGTATCGAACGAACGAAATCAGTCACATTTCACAGCAATCATCGATCGGGGCAAGAAGGAAACGTACTTTTTTCTCGTAATGGAACTTGTCGGAAAAAGCTTGGCTGATTTGAAGAATGCCAGACCGGATAAGGTTATTAAGTCGTTCGTCGTTCGTCATTATTTTTTATCCTATCAAGCATTTTAGGTTTTCTCAGTCTCAACAGGCTTAGGAGCTTCAATACAATGTCTAGAAGCATGTGAGGACCTTCATAAGTATGGCTTTATTCATCGAGATCTTAAGCCAGCCAACTACGCTTGTGGTCTCGGGGAGAAAAAAAGGGTGGTAGGTAAATAGATCCTTCTGAAAAGTAGATCTTTCTAAATGGTTTCTTTGAGGTATACATTCTGGACTTTGGGATCGCACGACGCATTCTGAACGACAAAAATGAGTTAAAAACACCACGCGTTTCCGTTAGGTTCAAGGTGCGTGTGGTATTTGGTCATGGTGAATACAAAATACAAAAAACAAAATTAAAAAATTACTGAAATCCACTCACTCTCTCGGAGTCGAGCACCAAAATGCATATTTAAGGCGTAAGAGTTGTCCACAGGATGTAATGCTAATAAAATTTTTTGCCAGCAAGATTCCTGTTCTTTTCTCGTTGGGTATTTAAATTTTGAACAGCCATCGTAGTTTCATAAATTCACTATACTGGCCTCGATTCAAAGATGTGTTAATTATTTACTATTTAATTATTGTTAACTGGTGTTTAAGTAGAGTGGATGTGGTGTAGTGGTTAAAGGTGACCTGAAGTACACACGCGGTCTTTGTTTCGACACCGTTTCCTGTACAAACCAAGTCTCCATCCCTGTGGGGATGGCAAATTGATATCAGACTTTTTTAGTGAGATAAGAGCACTGAATTCATACAGAGGTAGACCTCCGTAAAAAACAGTGATGAGCTGGCTTGAAGATTGCTTTTAAAGCACTATTTCATTACAGTAGTTGCCTAAAGTTATTCTTTCTTAGGGCACCATTCCGTTCGCTTCTTTAGCCTGTCACAAAGGCATTGAAATGGGACCGAAAGACGATTGTGAATCATGGTACTACCTAATGTTGGATTTAACAGTTCCTGGAGGTGATAAACACTTTTTCTTTTACGTTTAATCAATTAATATGTGCCTCTTAGTCTACGCCATTTCAGGTCTAATTTGGAAAAGAATGGCCGATAAAAATGAAGTAATGAAGGTGAAGGAAGAGTGCAGAGCATCAAAAAAGGCATGGAATGATTTATAGCCTAGACAACAAATTTTGGCACGTTCTGGACAAATTAGGATTTTAAGGAGTTAATGTTTGGTCCACTGAAATGCAAGGGTGAACTGGCACGAATTCTTGAATATATCGATAAGCTACAATATCACGATCATGTGGATTACACGTACATTTATAAAATGTTAGAAGAGGTACGAAAATTTACTGCTCTACTTAGGTAAGATCCTCTATTTTTATATTTTACAGGCTGCGATTCAATGCGGCGGTAATGTGAGTAATCCATACGACTGGGAGAATGACCCTTGAAGATTTTCGATTATCGAGAAGAAAACTCCAGATTGCATTTAGCTGATGATATATTAATGAAAGGAATTCTACGAGTGTACAATGAGCTAAAGTAAAAAATAAAAAAGTAACTATAACTTTGAAATCGACACAAAAGTTGGTCCTTCTAACATTTGTCCAAGAAATTCTAGCACGTCTTCTATCCTTTCTGAGATATACAGTGTCCTTGTGGCTAGCACACAACACTTAAAATAATCCCAGCATTTTGTTTCTTTTTTAAACAATATTCTTTTCAGCAGCAATGATGCTGATAAATAGTCAAAATTCAGACAGGCCAAATTCGAACCAGTGACTACCCTTTCAGGTGGTTCACATATTATCCATTGCATTACGGACGCCCTTGCTTTGTTATTTTTTAGTCCAGTTTTTTACGCCAATTTAGCTCTGCCATGAAAAAAAAATTGGCAGTAAGTAAAAGATTCTACATCAATATTCCTTTTAATTCTGACCTTCTCTGAACATTGGCATGGATGAACAAAGTTCTATTTACAAACGTGCACTGAGATTATTACAGATCTTTATTTTTTACTGATTTATTCACTACATGACCCGTTATCATATCTACCACGCGGATCCCAGCACTTCTCGCATTCCATTCGTTTCCTTGCCCTCATCGTGCACAATGGCCGTACAACATTTCGCGCGTTGTTTCTGCTGCTGCATGAGGCTTTCATTTTCTCTATGAATGTCCTAAAATGCTGGTCGAGTCGATCCTCCTTGCAATCTTGGAGATATCCGAGCTAGGGCGTCGCCACATGATTTGGAAAGGAGTTTTGAGTGGGGACCGAACTATTGCCTTTGCTTCCTGGTCGACGGCATCACTAGCCACTGTGCTATCTTCACCCCACAGATCTTTACTATGGATAACTTTTAGTGGAATCATCTTCAAAATTAGGATGTTCCAGTCGGGTGTCCACAGCAGCCCTTTCTTCTTATAATTTCGTCACACTGAGCCGAATCGAGAGCAGTGAAACAACAGTAGAGAATGAAGCACCGCCACCTTGCACGAACTTTCCGTACAGACTCTCATAGAACCTCAGCATAAGAGTTAAAAATTTGCTTTGCTATAAGACAACTGGTACAAATCTGACTATTGTCATCAAAAGAAACTAATAACTTCGGTTACCGATAGACCAAGGGCCATCCTGTATTCTGAAGTACTAGCGAGTGCCATAAGGTCACTGCAGTGCAGCTAGAATGTGGCATAAAGGCGCATCGTTCGGGACGCGACTTCATTCGTGTAGTACTCCAGTCCACTCGATTTCTGCCGATATGGAGGCTACAGATACCTACTACGCAAGAAGAAACAACTGCTCCGAACACTCGACTCAAATCAGTGGCTCTTATGAAGGCGAAATAGCTGAAACGTTAGCTATAATAACAAAGATTCATAACAACATCGTGGAAGCTCCTTAATAAACCAATAGCAAATAATATTCGTTTGTTCATAGTAACTCTTTTTACAAAGGCACCAATTCTTGGTCTTAGATAGTATACCACAAGGGAAAGCAAGCCTTCTCTTGAACAATCACCTGCAAAATGGAGGATGTTTTCATGGTTCATATGAAATAGCTGCTACATTTGCTATTGGGAACGATCTCTGATCGTGGAATGACGTTTGCAAACATCATGAACAATACCATCGTGAGAAAAGAAACAAATGAAAAATACGCCATAACTAATATGACTCGTGAAAACGAGCTGTTCAGGTATTCGATTAACCACAACTCTTTTGGTCCTTAGAGATGCCTCTGCAAAACTATGAGTACTTACTTACTTGGATACGTAGACGGTCCGCCTTCACGAGTTGTGCGAATCCCAGCACATATGCCATTCGTAACTGACTATGAGTAACAGCACCAAAAAAAGATTCCGAATACTTAATATCATTTTCATATAGATTCTTCATTCCGTCGTTTCTTAGTAATTTGTCATCAAATTCTTCGGTGCTGTGCTCGAACCGATGTGTAGCATTTAGACCAGAAGACAGTTCTAACCAGTTGTTCTTAGCAGCTGTTCTTTCCGAACCAAAGCTCAAAGGGCACCGCCAAGATGCTCTTGTCCCCAGTTTTACCTTGGTTTTCTAAACATTGACAACTAAATACTTGAATTATAAAGGCGATTTAGAGATCATTACAGAATATTCCCATAACCTTCTCTTGATTTCACGTTCTGATTTGCTTCATTTCGCCGACGACCCAACCATCTCCACCAATAAGCCACCGTCAACCAAACCACTGTTTTCTACTATCATATTCATACCAGGTAGCAGGTATAACAATGGCAGTGATCTGCTTCATTACGTCAACGGTACACTCTAACCAGGCATTGGTTCCACCGATCTCCAAGGTTATCATCCTTCCGGAGCCGGGAAATTGGTAGCAGACTTGTTTGCGATCAGCTCACTCCTTCTAAACAATTTAAAAACGTCCTAGCACGTCTGCTTCTGGAGTCGAGAATCGATTCGACCAGCACTCAACGACATTCGTGAGAAGTCGATAATCCTCGAGGAACAGCCAAATCCACGTGCGAAAAGTTCGAAGACCTTCATAAACGGTGGTTGCGATGAAGCGAATCGAATGCAAAAAGTGCTGGGACGCGCACAGTGTGATATATGTGATGTCTGGTTACATAATAAGTAATAAATATAAGCACCTAAAGCTCGACGCCAAATTCCATGTTGTGGCCGCGATGAGGACACCTAGTTTCTGACCACATGTGGTATGAGTCATATGTGGGTGTATAGCGGTCCACTCTGGCACACATTTTTGTTGTACGTTGATCTGTTCTGTTTAAAGTGCTTAGTTCATCCTGTCTGACCTTCTGTGCATCACTCAGTGTTTTGGAACATTTCTAATTCTTCTGTATGGTGAAAACATACCATTCACTTTCCAACCACGACTGTTTCAACGTTGCACAGTTAGCTTCGCAACACATTTTGGGCATGCTGATAGGTGATTGCTGATAGCGCTAGAGTGAAAAACTAACTGAGAGAAAGGCAAAGCAAGAACCTTAGTGTGGTGGATACCACGTGAGACACCGGAAAGGGTAATCGCGGGTTTGAAAACCCAGCTGAGGTACCGAGTTCTGCTGAAACGTCAGCAGCATCCCTATGATTATACTTCACATCGTACCCTGCCATTGAAGACGAATGGACAGCAAATAGAAGTTAAACGCTTTTGGGCGTACTTAAGTACTTCTATACATCATATATCCAAGAATACTTGATCAGTACCGAGTGGAAATCCAGTAATGTGTTTGTAAGCATAAACAATGTAGAGTTATTCTTCATGCTTACGCGGACCAACCCCTTATGCCTCGGACGAACAAACTCGTCCGGGAAGTATTTTTTGTAAGTTACCAATCAATACAATATAGCATCTCTTGGATCATTCCTATTACAACATTTTTGATGCGAATGTTGTCAGTTGAATAGAAAAAGTTTAGCAAACGAGATGTCTGACAAAAATGAAGAAGACGCACTGAAACCAATGCATATCGTCCAGTGTTTGATACCAGTGTTAAAGTGTGTCGAACGACGCAAAAGAATGCGTTTTAAATTTTCAAGCGTGTGAACTTAACGTAGATGTAGCTACTTAAATGCGCTTAATTAAGTAGGATTGTCGATTTTAAGTTACAAAATTTTTCCATTGCTTCCTGTATCTTGAGTTACAAGTTTTTCTTAAACAGGACTTTGTTCTTTTTTAAATTTAAATTTTTAGTAAAGCAAAGAACCTGCCAACGGTTTACCGCCTCATTGTGGCCGGGAGGTGTTCGTGGGTGTCTGACTGTGATGTAGAGCGAGGGGATTCATCTTCCCAGCAATGTTTCCACTTCCTGGTATCGAACTAATCGCATGCTGGCAAATCTTCCTCTAGTACACAGACTCGGCGACTGCCTGTGATGGTGACGACGTGAACTTTGGCTAAGCTGTCCTCGGGACCTCAGTGAACCACAATGGCTAAACCACCAAAGCGCCGAAAAACGGGAGTATGCTGGGGCCGCACAATTAGTGAAGACGGGCCATTGAAGTATCAAAGTAAGTAAAGCGACGAACCGTATATCTGTTAGATTTCAATGGAGTTTAAGATAGAAGCAGTTCCTACGTGCAGTGCTAGAGGTTTTCCGAAAAATCTCTGTCAATGTAGAAAGTGTTTCATTGCACGAATTTTACATTGAACTTCTTCAACGAATCCCATAAATTTTTACGAGGAATCATACTACTGAAGTAACAGAACAGGCTGGTACCATCATTCGTTGGCTTTCGCAACTGGTTTCTACTCGCATTTCATCAAGAATTTGGTTGGTCCCACAGCTTATCTTATCGCACTGATTGATGCTCAGGTAATAACTATAGTAGTACTGTGTTTACTTGCTTTTTATTTTCTACTAGTATTATTTTTCACGGCAGGATATAATGCGAAGTACAACCATTATGGTGCTGTGATATTTGCAAAATTTGAATCCCAGCGGCTAGATCGAATCCGTGATCACCCTTTCCGGGTGCTCACGTGTTACCCACCACACCACTGAGATCCTTAATTTGCCTTTTTCTCAGCGATTTGTTCTCACCAGATCATTCTCCTTGACGGGAAGTTACTGATCGCACCGTTAGGTAGAAAACCGGCTGAGAGAAAGGTAAAGCAAGGAACTCAGTTGTGTAGTGGGTAATAGATAAGCTTCCGTAAAGAATAGTGGCAAGTTCGATCTGACCACTGGCGTCCAAGTTTCGCTAATATCTTAGCATCATCGTGATTATAGTAGTACTATTGACATCACTATAGTTTCTCTGGATCTTTAAAATGAGTGTTATATCTCGAGCACACATATGATCTTTATGGCTTGGACTATCAGACACAAAGAACGGCCAGTACTTGTTCAGGCTATTTAGTCGATCTTGTTTATCACTCTAGGTATCAGCTGCTTTCCCTACGTTTCTAGCCACAAGGTGGCTGTCGTATATGCATGGCTAGAAAGTGGAAGACGTTAGGATCGTGGAAACTTGTGATCGGACAAATGGATTATCACCGCCTTCACATCCTTCTTCTCTAAGCGGTGTAAGTGTCATGGTCTATGGGACGAGTTACTTGGTAGACACTATCAGTTTAGCGTTGTTAAATGACGCAAAAACTGTCGTTTACAAACGATCGCCTCTGACGGACAAGCCATCCAGACCATTCATCTTTACAGAAGTTGAATCCTGGTAACAAATCCACTGGAAATATCCAATCCAGAAGCAAAACTATTGTTTGCGAACGGTCGGCTGCTGACTGATCCAGGCCATTCATCTTTGTAGGAAGTGAGTGTTGGTGACAATTCCACCCGAGCTCAAATCCACGCTCTTCACCTCGGCGAGTTTCCATAACCAAGAAATTTAATCGTCTTTTTGAGTGTTCTGAACGAGCCTGAACTCCATCTTCTTTTCACCGATATGATAATGGTGTTTCCTACGTCTGTTTGCGTCCGTGTATTATCGACTTTATCTTATCAAGAATTCGTTTATGAAACGGTTTTCTTGTAAAGTTTGCAATTTTCCAGTTTCATAGCAGCAACGTGAAGGTTATCACAATGCTTTCTGGTTTGAAAAGGCTTTCGGTACGTTTTTATGCCATTTCTTTTTGTAACTTAATAAGTTGTTAAATACAATGGCTCATGTGCTCGAGGAAGGCAGGAGGATTTAATGTGGAGAAACTACCCGTTATAGAAAGTAGTTCTGCTCAAGTTTTCGACACTTTCGAGTAGTACAACAAGTGGAATGTGTATTGTAGGACTACATAGTGGTACGGCGCTAGGAGAGTATGTTTTCAGAAGTGTTTCGTTCCAATCGTTTCAATCGATAACAGTTATTTTACGGTAGTCATTTAGTCGAATACGTCCTCAATATCTGTTACTGTAAGGGAAGCTAAAGATCGCTATTTCTTCTTTCCTATTGCCTATTTTATCATGAGCGACACGTTATTTGTAGATATAAGGAGTCGATTTGAAAATTGTTTCACGTGGCCAAAGTCATGAATAACGGATAGAGGTATACTTACTTGCTTACTTGGATGGCCCATCTTAACTGGTTGTGCGGGTTCCAGCATAGTTTCCATTTTTCCGGAGTTTGGTTCGTCTAACCGTTGTCATTCCCTGGAGTCCCGAGGTCATCCCAGCCAAAGTCCGCCCCAGGTCGTCACCACCACAGGCAGTCCTGTGGATCAGAGGGAGGTTTGCTACCATGCGAATAGTTTGCTACCTGGACGGTGGTGTATGCTGGTATTCCTTTACTCTTAGTTGGACTTCGTGATGAGAACGCCGGACTCTTTCTCAGCTTGAGAGATCCTGCTGGAGGTATCAATCCCCCGCTGTACACCGGTGCGCGACACCCAGGAACACTTCTCAGCCATGATGAGACGTTAAATCTTTGGGGAGTATAGAGGTATAAAGTTGTTCAAATGTTTCTCAGACGTATTTATCTGCTTTTAAGGCAAGCAAGGTAGTAATGTTTTTCAATAACACTATATTTGGTTTGGAAAAGAACGCTTCAATAAAATTCTAGGTGCGTTATAGTCGCCAATGTGTATTCTTTTCAACGACGACAACGATGAATACGGAAAACACGGTAAAAATGTGGATAGATGGTCGTCCGGTTCAGTCAAGAACTAGCGAATGGATCGAGCTCACAAATCCTGTGTGTTCTCGCGTTTCACTGAATTCAGTGGTTATCTTAATTACATGTTAATTAGTGGAACTTAGGCAACAAATGAGGTTATTTCGCGCGTACCCAAGTCTACACAAACCGAAATGCAAGCGGCCGTCGATTCCTGTAAGAAGGCGTTTGACTACTGGAGAAATACGTATGTTGTTTGCTTCATTCGTGGTAGTTTGATTTCGTTTCTCCTTTTGCAGTTCTCCCTTAACACGACAGCAAACTTTATTTCGTCTGCAAGCTCTGATAAAACGTGATATCAAACGAATAGCTGAGAATATCACGCAGGAGCAGGGAAAAACTTTACTTGACGCAGAGGGAGATGTTAGCAGAGGCCTTCAGGTATGGTCTAATGGCCGATCTACTTTTTATTCCGTTTACTTGATAAGTTGAAATAGACAGATGAATGCAGGGTTTGTTTCACAATGGCTAACATTTCAACCTATTTCGTCTTTTTCAGAGTGTAGAAAGGGTCACAGCATGTATCCTACTCGCTCAAATATCTCCATATCCTCTAATGTATAGATGATTTTACGTTCACATAGTAACGGACTCAGGTGTTAGCGCTAAATTATATAATGCCATTAAATAGGGGAGCGTCTAGCGCAGTGGTCAAAGGCGGCCTGCAATACACAAGGGATCGTTCCACGCGACCCAAGCTCACCAAATCCTCCATCGCTCCGCGGTCGGCAAGTTAGTACCAGACTTGTCTGGGAGGATAGCAGCACCGGCTCGATGCATCTGCAGGTCACCGCGGATCATTGTAAAGGCAAAATGTACATTCAATCACCTCTGACGATGCTTAATGATGTCGAATGCGTGGCGCATCCCTCAGGGATTGATCAGCGCCGACAACTTCATCCTTTTAGCTTTATTGGTTAAATAAACATGGGTCTTCAGGTTAAAGTGAGGTGTCCTGCATCAGTTCGGAAAACTGAAAAATTAGAGGGAGGAACGCCTGAGATTCCCACATTGCTTATCCCCATATATCAGGTTGATTTTCTGAACTGAGATGAGCTATTGTCAATTTATGAGCAAACATGTTTACATTCTAACTGAAACCTGATTTTTTATTTGTTGAGGTTATGAATTTTACCGAATATGCTGTATGATGCATGTTAATTTAACTTCTTCCTTGCTCTAACCTTGGAAAAACAGATCCACAAAAACGTTAGCCATCGTGAGTTAAACATATTAACAAAGCCGTATCATCTGATCAAGAACTTACTGAACAATTTTAACTTATTATTTACTGCCTAGCCTTTTTAACGACAGAGTTTATAATAATAAGTTAAAATTGTGATTATAACTGCAACCTCAGCTTAACTGGGTTCGCTGCCGATTTGAGCCCTCCAGATCAATCCCGCTGACGGGTGATTGCTGATGGCAAAAGATCAATAGAACTAGCTGAGAGACAGGCGAAACGAAGGACCTTCATGGTGTTGTGGTGAACAGGTTTCTCCCCGGAAAGGACAATAGCGCGTTCGTTCGCCACCGCAGACACCTGTGGTCCGGAGTTTTGCAAATGTCCGTATCATTAAAGTTACTGAACAATGTTTACGTCTGGTCAAAATTGGTCTGAGATTTGTTTCTGTGCTGATTGAAGAGTATTTGTTCAGGTCGTTGAGCATGCTTGTTCTGTGCCATCGCTAATGCTCGGGGAAACTCTTCCCAAGTATGTTTTCTAACCTGTAGTTCAAGGTTGTGTCCATTCAGCCTGGTAACACATAGATATCTTTTAGTGTTTCGCGTGATATGGACACATATTCATGGCGTATTCCATTGGGAGTCACTGCTGGTATTTGCCCGTTCAACTTTCCGGCAATGATTCCATTGTGGATGTTTCCTATTGCTCTTGCTACTGGAAATACAATGATACTGAAACCATCTGAGCAAGACCCGGGAGCCTGTATGATGCTTGTTGAATTGGCTAAAGTACGAAATTCTTCCTTTTTGTCATTACACTCCATTAAAAGGTGTCAATGTCTTAGGAAGCTGGTGTTCCTGATGGCTGTGTAAACGTGATCCATGGACAACATGAAGCTGTGAACTTTATCTGTGATAATCCTGACATTCACGCGATTTCATTCGTTGGCGCTGATCAAGCTGTTTGTTTCTTTCGTTTAGGCTATTATTAATTAACACAGCTAAGAAAAAGACGAAACGAATTACACGCATGGTGTGGTGGTGAACATGTTAGCCCCCAGAAAGGGTAGTAACGGGTTCGTTCCTCACTGCAGACACCTGCAGTCCGGACAATTGCAAATATCTTAGCATCATTGTGGTTATTATTAATTACTTTCTATTCTTTTGTAGGGCAAACATATCTACGAACGTGGAGCTCGTAATGGAAAACGTGTTCAGTCGAACATGGGAGCAAAGAATCACGGAGTGATTATGCCTGATTGTAACAAGGAGCAGACGCTCAATCAGGTAAACCTGATCTTATCTACGAATATTATGCAAGTCACCATATCCACCGCTATCATCAAGGGTTAAATTGTGAGCCTGTTCTTGGCAAAGTTCTACATTTCCGAGAATAATGAATTGAGAATCCTGAGTATATTATAACCACAATGATGCTGAGATATTTGCAAAATTCCGGATCGTTGGTTACGATGAGGATCGACGCTGGTGAGGATAATATTTTTTCATACTTGTACTCACGGCTCCTTTTGTATAGTACTGCTTCACTTTGGGCTTTGCGGGTGATTTTAGTATTTTATAAACCTCATTTTATTTGGAAGTTATGTATAATGATGTAGCTGTGTTGTAAAACAGGAGCAAAACCATATCATTTGAATAGATACTACCTTTATCATCTGTAATTCACTTGTCGTTGACGGACTAGATTGGCTTTGTTTTGGTTCCTCTATACTTTAAGGGTTATTTGTTATTATTGCATCCGAACCACTTCCCATGCAATCAAGTGGAGAATGTATGTGCATGTTGTATCGTCCTCTATGTCACCTCTAAGTCCCTTCATCGGATTTTGGCAGCAGATAGAATCCCCATGCTTTCAAATATATGTGAACATGTTTCATATTATTCACTGCGACGTGTTGGAGACAGTGAGGTTATGTGTTGAATCAATCCACGTCCTAAAGTAGCACACAGTCGCTTTTGGTTCTCGTTTAACTGGTTTAAGATCCATCACGGAAAGATTAGTGGTTGATTGATCTATTTCCAACTAGATACATCAGTCTGAAATAAGACATGATTTCGTACTAAAAGTATTTATTAGAGGCCGTTGACTACGCATCATTGAAGTTGTGCTATAGTTAGGAAACTTAGCAAAGATTTTGGCGATTTATTTCCAAGGCTTAGAAGGAAAATTGAAATTTATTTAACAATACCCGCAAAAGGGATGCGTGTAGCGCAGTGGTCGGAGTCGCCCTGCAATATACATGGGATCGATTTCCGCGCTCTAGGCCCACTAGGCCCTCCTCCGGGGTCATGTAATTGGTACTAGACTTTTCCAGGAGGATAGCAACACTGGCTAGATACATCACTAGGCCACCTTGAGTCATTGTAATGCCCAGATACGCATTCAGTCATCTCCAACGATGCTTAATGAAGTCGAATGCATGGCGTATCCCTCAGGGATTAATCGACGTCATGAGCTTTATCCTTATATCCTTTGTACCCTCAAAACTATGCTTGCGACCTCTATGTGGGTCCTACTATAATCACTTGGTTAGTATATTTTTATTTAGAGTTGATTATGTCACAAGATTTGTGAATTCATGTTGTCTACATTATAGACAAAAAAGACGTCAATGTATTTCCAACACAATACTGGTGTGAGATCCGGTGCTTATGTTTCTGTTACTACCAAACTCCCATATCGAATTCCCTCAGTTATATGGAAACTTTCTAATGGGATGATGTGCAAGTATAGAACATTGATACCAACCACTTTACTATGTATAAGCTGAATAATAATTTCGAAACTTCTTTTTTCGGATCTTATAACCACTGCCGGCATGTATAAAGGAGCATCGCCGAGTTAGTATGGCTTATTCGAGAGTGATGCTCCAGTGAGGAAGATTCGGCTCGATGCGCGACGAAAAGGCAACCTCGAGAACACGAACAACGGTGAACCATTGGCTTGGATCGTCGACTGTGATGAAGACGAAACCGTTAACCGGATAAACATCTTTATCAACCTGGTGTAAGCTCAACAATGTGAACACATATGTATAAGGTCCTTTCTCTGGATGGGGTCAAGTAATTTTTCGTGTTAAATTCTAAATCAGGCTGACAACTCAGCAGTTCATCTAATGGATAGAAGAAGATAGAGCTCTGAGCGTTGATCAATCTATGCACCATGCATTCAAATTCATTAAGAATCAATGGAGGTGAATGGATGCATATTTGGTCTTTATAACGACTCTCGATGATCTGCTGATGTATCGAGCCAGTGCTGCGACCCTCCCAGATAAGTCTGGTACCAATTTGCCGAGCTATGCCATGGATGGCTTGGTGAGCCACCGGTACGGGGGTCGATCCCCCATGTGTACCGCAGGGTGCCTGCGACCACTGCGCCACATGCGCCGCTGTACTCGTCTATCTGGATTGGAGAAATTCGAGTTTTCAGAAGCTCTCACTTTTCTGAACATAAAATAGCCAATTTAGGTAACTGCGGCTGCATTTGGAGCTGCGGGGCAGCGCTGTATGGCCCTTACGACCGTAATCCTAGTAGGGGAAGCGCGATCATGGCTTCCCGAACTCGTTCAGAAAGCGAAGAGTTTGAAAGTGAATGCAGGTACAAATCTCCATTTTATACCTGTGTTATTGTCGTGGTTTTTTCTTCAAAGAAATTTTAAAACCAGGATGGATGCCGAATACGGATATCGGACCATTGATATCGAAGAATGCGAAAAATCGTGTCTTGAGTATTATCAAGGGAGCGAAGCAGGTAAACTTCCTTCGCCTTTCTGACCTTGTATGTTATAATCAAACAGTTAAAACAATAGGAAGGCGCTAATGTGATGTTGGACGGAAGCGGAATAGTCGTTCCTGGGTTCGAAAGCGGTAACTTCGTTGGTGCATCCGTTATTGCTGGAGTCAAAACAAATATGACGTGTTACAAGGTGTGTGCTTCAAAATTGAACTTCGTTCGACGTCCGTTACTGCAGGAGTCAAAATAAATCTGAAGTGTTACGAGGAGTGTAGAGCTAAAAATTAGCTTCTAATTATAATGTTATCACAACAGACAATCCCAATTGGAATGTTTATTATGTACATCTAGTGCGCCTGTGATTTAATCCTTGCATCTAATGTTAATCCTACTTCCTGTGTTCTGTTCGGAATTTCAATGCATTGATTTTGTGTGGAAATACTATTTGGTCATGACACTTTTCTATGTTTTACTGCTTATATTTGAGGAAGAGATCTTCGGCCCTGTCCTCGTTGTTATGGAGGTCGCAGATTTGAACGAGGCGATTGACGTCATAAATAAAAACCCTTATGGAAACGGAACGGCCATTTTTACTTCTAACGGGGCCACAGCTAGAAAGTAAAAATATCTTTTTGTTTCGGAATATCTTCACTGGGTTGATTTTTTTCCAATTAAGGTTCACAAATGAAGTCGATTGTGGCCAGGTCGGAGTGAACGTGCCAATTCCAGTCCCTCTTCCTATGTTCTCTTTCACGGGTTCTCGCGGTTCGTTCAGAGGAGATATGAATTTCTATGGAAAGGTACTTTAATAGACTATGAATTACACATACATTCAGGTAGATGAGAAAAAATATTCTAGTCTGGGATTAACTTCTACACACAGTGGAAGACGATCACGCAATATTGGAACGAGGCCACAACGGAAATTAAGCCGCAGACGGCGTTCCCTCAGCTCAAATAAGACCAGTCTACCTCCCTTAGAACGGGTGAAATTATCAAGCTCAGATCTATATTTCAGTTATCGACATTTTTGTTCTCTATTGCATTACTGGTTCGCGTATAAAAATGTAGCACATGCTTTTATTACAACGTCATTCGTAAAAAAATGGTCTCACTATTGTGTATCAACCATACCGGAAGTCGCCTTTTCAATTTCAAATTCATCGTCAGTATCATCTTGAGGTTTTCTCTCAGCGTTCTCTGCTGCGTCTGGGTTCACCTTCAAATGGAGCTATAAGAACATCAAATACTTGAGTAGGGCTGTATTTGTCGGTATTTTGAACAAAAGAGAATGTGTCGGCTCTTTTTCCTATTAAAGTTTCTGTGAAGTAAATAGAAATGAGTCTGCTGGCAACGGTTGCGTCAAGTCACCTACGAATATGATTTATACTTACTTGGATACTTATACGGCCCATCCTCATTGTTATGCGGGCTCCAGCATATTCTCCTTTTTTCGAAGTTTTGCTGGTTTAGTCGTTGTATTTCCCTGGAGTCCCAAAGCCAGCCTAGCCAAAGTCTGCTCCAAGTCGTCACCACCACAGGCAATCGCCACCTTTGTGGATCAGAGGGAGGTTTGCCACCATTTCGATGCCAGGACGGTGGTGGATCGTGGTTTGGTTTACTCTTAGCTGAGCTTCCTGGTGCAAACGCTAGACTCCCTCTTAGCTTAGGAAGCCCTGCTAGGGCAATGAATCCCTCTACTGGACATCGCAACACGACACCCAGGAACACTCCCACCCACGATGGATCGGTAAACCGTTGGGAAGGAAAAAGATTTATAGTACTTAAAAAGGAGAGATGCGGCTATAATGAATACATTTGGGTATACTCCTTAGGTTCACTGAATGTAGTTGGTGCTGATCTCTCCATGCTGTTTTGGTGCATTAACACAAAATACGGGGTACTGGAAACTTGGTAAGAGATGCTGTCTAATACACGCATAGTCGCTACTGACTCGATCAAGCTTGGACCAATGAACCTCTCAATCCTTTCTAAACCGTCAAACTGGCACCAGACTACCTTGGGAAATATTCCTCCTTCACATCCCAAAACAAGCCACAACCTATGAGCTTCTAATAGAGCTATCCCAGAATTCCAGGGATAATCAACCTGACCAGCATACAACGACATTCATAAGGAAAATCTTCAAGTTGCAATCGATCCCACGCGGAAATGTGAAAACCTTCGCGAATGGAGAGTGGAAACGATGGGATGATCTGCTGTGATCGAGACAAAGTGTGGTATTGGTCATATAAGTAAATGAATTCAATGCGAATATGGGACAGAAGAGTAAGCAATTAGAAAAACTTTCTTTGTGAAAACGTCTTTCTAAGAAATAGTGGACAATTGTTACGCTAAACATCTCTCGCCAACTGAGTTCTTTTTAACTGGGGCACACCAACTTACCCAAGGCAAATGTATTATACGACTGGAAACCAACGGTGCTTCAAAAATGACCACTTCTTTTCCGAGCTCTAGAAAAAGGACTATAAGACAAGGAGGGACTGAAGCAGCTCTTATTTTTCCTTCCAAATGTTCGCAAACCCTCTCAGAGGTCCAACTCCACCCACAAAGTGATGAGGTGGTATTGCCATGTATTAAACTACAATGCATGCTAAAAATAGATTCCACAGCAGAATCATTCTAGCTAAAAACCACAGATCCATTGAAAAACCCAACACAAGGAGAAGCACTGCGGGAATCGTTCCTATCCTGGAGGAACCTTTACTCAAAGGAGCGAAATCACCTCCAATCCACAACGACCGGTCACCGCTATTGATGGTGAACTAAAAAGTAGGAAAAGCTCGAAAAAAATCCAAAACAACCTGCTCAACCAGGAAACAGTAACCGAATAGAAACACTGCTGGGAATTAGCCAATTCTTCGCGGTAGAAAATTCGTACTGATTTGTTCAAATTATATGTTAAAGAACAATAAATGAAGATAAAGCTTAAAAACTATACCGTAGCCGAGTTTTCAAAGCTCTAAAGTGTGAAATGCACTCATGTCCGGTGAACTCAAATTGTAGCTAGCGACGTCATCAGTAAATGCGAAAAAGACGGTGAATGGGCACTTAAAGGGAAGAAGTCCATTTGGAAAAACAAAGATGGGTTCGAAAATTTACGCGTCTAGAGGAAGGGACGGATGTTCATCTTAATTATTAACGTATGTGCTACTACAAAAACCAAAATAAAGATGATAACCATCAAGTCCTCATTAACGAATAAAGCACCGGTTTGCTGCAGTGCAATCCGTCATGATAATTTGCGGCTATACCCTCGTCCGCAATCTCTGGACCTAGCCGGAATTCGAACCCGGCGCCTGTCGCACCGGAAGCGAGAACCATATCGCTAAACCATCCGGCCATTCAGTAACTCTGACTCTTCCTATTTCAGCACAAACAACGACCAACTTCTAAAGAAATTATACAAACTAACATGTAATCGTTGTCGTTTCCGTAAATAGTATAGCCACTGTAGAACCTGTTGGTCTTCTATAAACTTGGCATTCGCTCCTAAACAACCGTGAAATACGCAGAATATCACACCGACAAAAGATAGTAGAATTCCTTACCTGACATTAGCGCTTCACGGAAATTGTGGCACTGCAGACACTCCAGAATGTGTAAGCACTGAGGATACTTTAGGGCTCTAGAATAATTCAAGAGGATGAAACGATACAAAGTAGAGGTCTAGTTTGAAAATTTGTCCCTTCAAATAAGAGTGAGACAGAAAGTGAGGTAAATTTGGTAATTATCATAATTTGTGAAGTTCTTGTGAACTCTTCTAGCAAACAGAATAAAACGAAGTGAATAACATCTACCTCGCATATTCCGGCTGTTTCCAGTATAGCAAATACTTGAGGTAGTTGATGAAGTGTTGCTCCTTGAGGAAACCACGTTGTGCTAGGACTACAATGGGAAAGTTCAGGAACGCTATAGAAGGTTACGAAAACCTGTCCAGAGTGATGCCATATTATGAAATTTCAATCACGTACCCACACATATATTAACACCTGCTAAGAAAGCTAACTTTCGTTAGCAGCCTGTTTTAGCACATTTTGGCGTGGAGTAAGACTTTAAGCAACACCGACAATAGTGTATCGAGAAAGCATCGAACCAGCAGCTGTGCTTACTGCATTTTATGCTTAACTACTGCACTTTCCACGCCAAAAATCAGTAACCAATCAAAAATTAAATTTATAGACTTTGAGAGAGGAATTTAACTTCTTTTTCAGTCGACACATCACTAGCAGCAAGCAGAAAGAAGCCGAAGACGCTAATGTTCAGGCCATTGTTATGCTCCTCTGTTGTTCTCCTAGGCGAAGAGAGTGAACAACGTATTAGAAGCATGAGAAGAAATAATGATTCATGATGATGAGGTTCAAAAAGTGCTCTCTGATGAATCTTAGGCATTCGATGAGTGTTAACTTAGAGTGGACCAACTGCTAGAGCTCGCGAACAAAAACAATACATTTTGAAGAAAAACTTGTGGTTGATGTTTAGGACATGAATGCGGAAGGAATGGAAAGACATGAAGAAGAGAGACCAGTCGACCAGCTATAATTCATACAGGTGAGAGCACCTCCAAGGCTTCAACAGGCTGTGGCCAACCTTATGGAGATGAGAATCATAGACGACTTTTTCGACGATGTATAGCATCCGTATAATGATGACTGACACACGAGTATCTCTCCGGTTGAAAGTTCATTCAAGATGAAAAACCATCGAAAAGATGTAGAAAGGACAAGGAAAAGAAACATCAGCCAAGTAATCGGGCGGAATCTGAACAAAGAGCAATTGAAGACGCGTACGCGCCCCACCAACAGCAGTTCCGTGCTACCATATCTGTACAGTAAGCAAGAAAATTGGTGTGGTACTAACATATGTGGAAAACAACACTAAATATCGACTTTCAAAATGTGAGAAATAACTTTCGTCGACCATCGTCTGCTACAAGATAGCTGGTGTGTAAGGTGTCGAATCAAGCAAAAAGCATTTGAGCGGTAAAAGAAACAACTGGGAAGAAAATGAGCTACATCAGACTCATACCGTCCCAGATATGCCTACAGGTGATTCATACATGACCCATACGTCTCGAATGTGTTAAGTCTACAAAAATTTCGATACAGAAAAGTTTTCTCGACAAAAATGTACCGTAACGTAGACTTACAGTTGACATAATGAGGGTTAGCCAGGGCTTGTACGAACTCGCACTCAATTTCGAAACGGCGTCGTTGTTCTTCAGGTGGCTCTAATTGTGCCGTTGAGAGTTGAACTAAACAGATTGAACTTATAGCGCCACAATTTTATACAAGGAAATACAAGTATGGCAAATGTAATTAAGAGCTCAAAATTCCAACTGTTAAAGGTTAGGGTTAAGGTTATAAGCTTAACAATCCAAAATGACAATAACTCAATAGAATGATAGAATGACAATAGTTCCGGTGGACAAATCGGTCCATCTATTTCGCAGAATGACCGTACCAAAGGAGGGCTATGTATTTATGTTAAACACCTTAAATACCAAAATACACAAGTATCTAAGACCTACTCTTATAGTCCATCACAGTTCGCTGTCATTGTGATCAACCGTGCTCCAACACACCTCTCATCATCGAAGTGCTTTCGAGCGCAAATTGCTAAATGGAGCGTGCTATATGACACCTAGTTTTGATAGTTGTGGAATGGTAAGTGCGCACGGTTTCGTTCGCTTTCACCAATATCAGCTATTGTCTTTTTTGATCATTGTTTGGTAGTAGTAAGGTAGTGCTTAAGGTAGTAGTGCGCCTCGTTGCTTCTATCACCTGAAGAGTTTTTTCCTTGTCAGTATAGATTATTTGAGTAGAATATACGGGACCGAACCCTAAGGCCTGACCAGCACAATTCTACCCTCAAGAACCCACTATCTCCTCGTCTAACTTCCCCTCTGATAAAGTACTTTGCATTAACCGTGAATGTGAAGAAAATCGTTACTGGAGTAGTTAACCTAAGTGGAACACCAATGAACAGTACGGGAGAGCAAACCATCGATTAGTGAGCGAGCGATGTTGCCCGTTGGTTTATTATCCGTTCGAAGTTGTCTGCACAGTAACTTTAAGGTGGACCATCCAAGCTCATTATGTTTCTCCTTGTCCTCCTGTATTCCTACTGGTTCTCGGTAGATTTTGTTCATAAATGCTGTTTTGGTCTGTTGATCATTTTGAATCTTTCTTAGAAGCCTTAGTTGGAGTTGGCCTGGCTTTAAATCAGTAGAATAAGGCAAGTAACATTTCATCCAGTAATTAATCTCTTCAAATAGCTTATTTTATCTGGTTGTTTATTTCTTCAAATGATCGAAGAACGCTCCTTTATGTCGAAGTCTAAAGAGTGTCGATACTTAAAACCATTGACGAGGTTCCTACTTGATGTTTGGGTTTTAGCCTTCTTTGACATTTTGTTAACTTTTGACCTTTCAATAAAGTGCCGACGTTCGACGAATGCACTGCCAAGAAGACGATGTCTGGTGCTGATAAAATCAGACAGTTGAACGAAAGGATATGAATTTAGAGTGGCTCTAATAGTGGTAGGAAGCCATAAAAGTCCTTATGTTGGCCATAAGGTTAAATATCAGGTCATTAGGGCGTATGAGAGTAAATCTACTCTGCCTACAGCACAAATGTCCAGACTTTGTAAGATGTCAAACATTCAAGCTTGAATCTGTCTATCGGATAGTTCAGATTTTTCGTGAACACAGTAAAATGAAAGGATATCTTTCATCTTTGACTACATCTGTACGTCAGAAAACTCTTTAGATGGTCACTAAAGCTAGTAAGGAGGCCAGTGTTTCCTGACGAGATTTCAGTTTAACGCAAAACAATACTTGATACTTGATATTTGAATGACCCGTCATTACTTATTGTGCGAGCTCCAGCATAATCTCCATTTTTCGGAGATTTGCTGCTTAAGCCATTATGGTTTGCTGGAGTCGCGAGGTCAGCCTGGCCAAAGTCTGCCCCAGGTTTTCACCACCACAGGCAGTCGCAGTGGATCAGAGGGAGATTTACCACAATGCGACTTTGATACCAGGACGGTGGTGGATCCTGGAATTGGTTTACTCTTAGCTAGCCTTCCTGATGGAAACGCCGGGCTCCTCAGCTTGGGACCCTTTCGGGGGTATGAATCTGCCCGCTGTACATCGTAGTCCGACACCCGGGAACACCTCCCAGCCACGATGAGGCGGTAAACCGTTGTGGGAACGCAAAACAATACCAGAAATCAAAATCTCAACTTGAGTAACCTCATTAACTAAGTCATTTAGTTCCACAAACCATTGTTAATGAGCAGACACGTCGTTGTTCACTCATAATTCGATGTTACTTAGCTAACATTACCGGTGACTGTTTTCAGAACCTGGAGCTATTGTTAAAAGGCGTTATTTGGTAAATATTCCACAGCCTTAATGAAAAGTTTTACGCTAGAAGTCAGTATTCTGCGAATAAGACTGGTTAGCAATACATTCAGGCTCTGAAGAAGAACTGGCTAAAAGATTAGCCATCGTAGATTAGAAACACTTGTTAACAATAACAATGTCAGTTCATGAATGATGTTTTGTAGGAAGAAAATAGTGGTAATCCCCATCGTACTGAAAAAAAAATTAGTCCCAAGGTGAGAGAATTTGCTTCCATCTCCACAGAATGGGAACTGTGAGTAGGAATGTTTTGATTTTGAGAAAGCTTAATCAAGCCTTACTTGCCACTCCTGCACTAATATCAGCCATTACTTTCTTTTTTATACGACCCTTCCTTCACATCTGCGGTGCGGATCCCAGCACTTCTCAAATTCGATTCATTCTCTAGCATCCATTATCCATGAAGGTCTTCCAACTTTTACGTATGGCTTTGGCTGCTGCTTGAGGACTTTTCTTTCATCATGAATGTTGTAGAATGCTGGTCAAGTCGATTGTCGCCGGCGTCCTGAGATATCCATGCTGGAGCGTTCCCATTTGGATTACAGAGAGCAAATTTTCCCAGACAAATCCGGTGCCAATTTTCCAATCCTGGAAGGTTGAGAGGCTTGGCGAGCACGAAGTGGGATCGAACCTTCACTATGCTCATGGTGGTCGGCACCACTACCACTGTCCTATCTGCCCCTGTTTCGTCTAATACATTTGAAGTTTTAACTCAGATGTTTGCGCAGTAAATGTAACAACAGTAACAACAAAAACGACAACAACTCTTCCTTCGGAATGAATCCAGCTGCTCATCAAATGCAAATAAACCTTACACAGAATACAAACAAGTTGTTACAAAAGAAATATTTGTGCCATAATCACAATAGGACAAAAACCGTTCAAAAACATCCTCTCGAACGGGTGAAGCGAGAGAAAGCACAACAGAATTCCAGAACAGAACAAGAACGATCAAACAACTTTAGATTAGATTAAGAGCTATATTATACAGCTTTAAGAAATGTTGTCCAGAAATTCAAGGATTTCGAGAACCTATTAGTAGCAGCGCATTCGAATCCATCACATGAACAAACGAAAAACCAATACAACACGAAAACGCTCAAATCTGAAATCGCGCTACTCGGACTTTCAATACATTTTTATATGAGGATGTTTTTTACACAGTAAACTCTAGAAAGTAAATAAGGTATGAAACACTTTGGAAGTGATTAAGCCATACTTAAAACGTACGGTGTTCATGCGTTACAATGTGACATGTACCTTTCCTTTCTGATCCTTTTTTTACTCTATTTTTACTTTTTCTACCTAATACTTTTTTATCATATTCTGATTTTGAAAAACAAAAACAAAAAGGAGAAAAAGAAAATGAACCAACGTCTTTGGAGCAATATGGGTCACCTAACCTACGAGGTTTGAATGAAGAGATATAGTGGGCAATCAAATCGAACTGATCGAGTAGATGAAATTACCGTTGTATTCATATCTTAATAGAATCGCCTCCTAGGTCTTGCCATGATAAAGCTGTCATCAATAAATCGATCTGTTATCGCATATAAAGCATACATAACTATCAACACCAAGACAGTAAGGATCGAGACTTCAGTGATCGTCAAACGTTCGTCATCTACAAGTGGCGGTTCGCGTTCGATATCTGTTAAGAATCAACGTTAGTAGCACTAGCTAGGAAACGGTTCAAATCAGTGTTATTTAACTAGTTGTCCATTTATTTGTCCACCTACTTCCATAACCTATGAATTTCCTTTGAGTGACCTGACATCCTATATAGTTCGAATTCCATAACTTCCTTCCTTCCATTCGTTTCCTCACATGTCCATTATCCAAGAAGGCGTTTGGATTTGCGTACAGATTGGGCTCCTGCTTAAGGATTTCGGTCTGCTTTATGAACGCTGTTAAATTCTAGTTGAGCAGGTTCTCTCTGAAATCCTAGAATAGCTGTGCCATGACGTTCAACAGTCTTCAACACGAGCATTCTCCAGCCTTCGTGGTTTAGAGGTAATTGTTTTCAGACAAGACCGGTGACAGCTTCAGGACGCTGATGAAACCGAGACGCTTGGTTGGCACCTGTCGAACCAAGCCCATGGGCACTTTGATGAATAGATTTAGATCACTGCACTATCCGCACCCTTAATCCTATCGCTATGTTTATTTTCTTGTTTCTTTACCGAAATAAAGTAAGTAATCAACACATGGTATTTCCTACTGATTCTTAAAAAATCCAATAAACAACAAAGTATTAGGAATTTCGGCCCGCTGAAACTTCATATTATTCAAACAATTCTGAACTTCGTCTCTCATATTTACGGTTATCAAAGTGTTCCTCTAAACTTATGCCACATGAAGGACATTTACTATTTTCAGGATTTCTACTAGATTCTACTTTACTTCTCTAAATTGTCAATTCGATAAAAGAAGAGGATAAAGCTCTCAGTGTTGATCAATTCCTGAGGGATGCGCCATGCATTCGACTTCATTAGGCATAGTTATAGGTGGCTTAATGCATATTTGGCCTCTTCAATGACTTGCGGTGATTCACCGATGTATCTGGCCAGTGCTGCTATCCTCCCAGACAACTCTTTTACCAATTTACCGAGCCCCGGAGGGATGGATGGCTTAGTAAGCCTGGGACGGGGGATAGGTCCTATGTGTATTGCAGCGCACCTCTTACCATTGCGCTACACATGCTCCCACTATTATTCATTATCTGATAGTCCTTTCAACGGTGTACCACCTCATCATAGCTGAGAATGTGTTCCTAGATGTCTGGGTGCAATGTACAGCGAAGGTATTCATCCCATGCCTCTGCAGCTGAGAATGAGTCCGGGGTTT